AGTAGTAGTAGTAGTAGTAGTAGTAGTAGTAGTAGTAGTAGTAGTAGTAGTAGTAGTAGTAGTAGTAGTAGTAGTAGTAGTAGTAGTTGTAGTAGTAGTAGTAGTGGTAGCTATTTAGTTTTTAAAAAGCTCTTGGTAAGCTTTTATTCTGTGTCAGTGTTGTTTGAAAGTCTGTTAAGTAAAGAAACGTTGACCTCTGGAACATTTACCTCACAGTTTGTTGTTCATGCAACTCACACAGGTTCGTACCTACAACGATGACAATTTGCAATATCCCAGGAAAAGAAAAGATTTTTACACTGAGTCGCCATAAACAGGCATCGAACTTTTAATATTCGCAACGATGATGGCATATGGTGGCAACGGAATGGTGAGTGTATCCAGATGGTGACAGGGGCTGTGTTAATCCATAAAATTTTCCGTTCACTTGCCATTAGCCTTTAAGGATAACAGTCGGACACCGGTTTACTCGGCCGATGTTCTCCAACAGTGAAATGAGCGAGTTTACGTCAGGAAAGACAGACAATACAATAATGTGCTATCCATGTCTATGGCTGAAATAAAATGTCCAGTTATGACGTCTATCTACTTGGAGATCTCACCTGTTCCTGTTGCAGTTCGCAGACTATCCAATTGCAGCATGACGTCATCAGTTTTGGGAACTTTCAGAATCCCATATTGTCGATTGCTGTTTAAACCTTCACATCTCACATGTTTGAATACTTTCCGGCTGGTAAATTGCGCTTTGGTCGGAAAACTAAACTCCATAACGCGAACGGGCGTGGGTAAGTCTGTAGCCCCCCCTCCTGCCTTTTTCCCGCCAAGATTTCAGTCAGAGCCCCCCCTCTTCTCTAATATATTTGTCAGCTCGTTTTCGGATCAACGTAGAAACTTACAAGTTACTGAAAAACCTGTCCCACTTGGTGGTTGGTCTATTTCACGTTGGCTTGTCAAAGACAGCGATAAAGAGAAGCCCACGCCGTTCTTCAGAGTAGCGGAATGGCTCAGTACTGGCGATTGGTGGGCTTCGCGGGATGTCGGCGTCTGGGCAGTCACGCGAAACACCCGCCAACGCTCTGACCGTTCATTGTTGGTCCGTCGCGAGTCCAGGGCCCCTGAAACGCTTAACAAGCCCGACCCCCTCCTAGAAATTTATGATCGTAACTCTGCCTACCTGTGGCGCATGAGTCAATTGAAGAGTGAACTCCGAGATGGAAAGGGGGGAAAACAAGGGACGAAGGAGGGGGGGTGAAAAGAAGGGGTACACACTGAATGAGTCAATGTTGACGAAGCGGGGGTAGGGAGCGACTTCAGCAGATATATATCCGTACTGCTGATAGAGCTGATGTCAAAGGGTTTGAATTTTCCACAGGTCATGCCTGGGGCGAGATCGGCCAGGTGGTCAACTCAACAGCGACCTAATCTTACCTAACTCCAGCAAACGGTAAAATACACGGTGATTCTAATCTGGTCCATGCTTGCATGACGTGGTTAGCAAATTGAGAAAGAAATTGTGAACATAGAAGAGAGAGAGAGAGAGAGAGAGAGAGACAGACAGACAGACAGACAGACAGACAGACAGACAGACAGACAGACAGACAGA